ATGTCTGGGGGCTCGGGGGCTGGGCCTACAGAGAAGGAGGGGTCCAGGCCCTGGATGGCCTGCAGTGGGGGACGCAGGCGAGCCCTTGGGGTCCTGGGGATGGCCCCGCCGGGGAAGGGTGCTGCTCTCCCTGGCCTCAATCTTCACCTGGGCTCCAAGGTGAGAGGGCCCTGAAAGCAGATGGTAGTCAGCCACTCTTGACCTGGACAGAGCTTTGGGGAGCCTGGGCCACCCGTTGATGCATCCCCTTGAGAGGGCTCCCTGCTGGCAGCCCCTCCGGTTTCTTGCTGGGCTCCTGTTCTCTTCCCCAGGGAGTGTCCCACATCAGGAGTCCTTGGTCCCTCGCTCGCCCACGCACCCCCCATCCTGACACGCAGGCAGCCCCTCCAGGTTCAGTCATTCTCTGCTTGGCCCTGACAGGGACCCCCCCAGGTGGCAGTTCTCTGGGTTCCAGGCCCCCAGACACAGACCCAGCCCCCTCCCTGCATGACTTCCTGGCCTGGACCCCAAAGCAGTGTGACCTATGTCCCGGGACGCCTGAGTCTGAGCAGTTTCTGGGCCACGGAACAGTCCCAGGCAAACTGGGATGTGGGGGGTCTCCCTACCCCAGGCCACCTGGCTGTCTCTCTGCTGGCAGCAAGGTCCCCGAGCTGGGCCTGGGGCCCCAGCCGCTGCAGACCCCCTGGCGAGGCCGTGTGCAACTTCGTGTGTGACTGCAGGGGCTGCCCTGACGAGGCCCAGTGCGGTGAGCCGGGGCCGGGCAGGGAGTGGGCAGGGCCGGCGCTTGCAGGCACCCCACCTGACCACCTGCCCTCCAGGTTACCACGGGGCCTCACCCACCCTGGGCGCCCCCTTCGCCTGCGACTTCGAGCAGGACTCCTGTGGCTGGCGGGACATTAGCACCTCTGGCTACAGCTGGCTCCGAGACCGGGCAGGGACCGCGCCGGAGGGTCCAGGTCCGCGCTCGGACCACACTCTGGGCACTGACCTTGGTGAGGCCTGGGCGGGTCTCCACACCAGCCCTCCCCTCTGTGCTTCCCGCCCGGTCTCCTGACCTCTTGGCCCGGCCAGGCTGGTATGCGGCTGCTGGCACACACCGTGGGAGAGAGGCGGCCACCGCAGCCCTGCGCTCCCCAACCCTGCGTGAGGCAGCCCCCTCCTGTGAGCTGAGCCTCTGGTACCACGTGGCCTCTGGAGGTGCGGGCCCGGGACCGTGCGCGTGTGCAGGTCCCGAGGGGAGGGACTGGGAAAGGAAAGGGAGCTGCCGCAGAGACGGGAGGGCGCCCCCAGGACAGGACGGGCAGGGGTCCTGGGGCAGGGCGCAGCAGCCACCAGGCAGGGGGAGGGGTCCCGGGGCCTGAGATGCCTGGGACGCCCCAATGCAGGTGTGGCCGAGCTGCGGCTGGAGCTGACCCACGGTGTGGAGACACTGACCCTGTGGCGGAGCTCGGGGCCCTGGGTCCCAGGCTGGCAGGAGCTGGTGGTGCCCACCGGCCGCATCCAGGGTGACTTCAGGGTGAGACGGGGACGGTCGCATGGTGGGGGCAGCGAGGAGGGTCTGAACTCTGCCTGAGATCCCAGGGACCTCGCTCTCTTCAGGTGACCTTCTCTGCCACCCGAAACGCCACCCGCAGGGGTGCTGTGGCCTTGGACGACGTGGCCTTCTGGAGCTGTGGGCTGCCCAGTAAGGTCCCCAGGCCGTGAACGCACACCTGGGTGGGGGAGGGGTTAGCAGGAGCCCGTGGTCCCCTCATTCCGGCCTTGAGCCTCTCCCCAAGCTGCCCTGACCCGGAGCCTTGGGGTGGGGTGATGGGTTAACCCTCCCCCACCCTAGCCCCGCAGGTGCACTGCCCCCTGGGGCATCACCATTGCCAGAACAAGGCCTGCGTGGAGCCCCACCAGCTGTGTGACAGGGAGGACAACTGCGGCGATGGTTCAGATGAGGACACGCCCACCTGCAGTGAGCCGGGGCTGGCGGGGCCACGGGCGGGGGTTGTCTGTCCCTTGGCATGGTCCTTCTGGGGGAGAGGCCGTTCGTGTCCACCTGGAGCTGGGGCCATCAGCGCAGGCCCGGGGAGGCGGGGGGCCCCGGGAGGAGGCCCGCATGGTAGCCGGAGCCCCGTTTCCCACCCTAGACCACCACACGGCCACCGATTTTGAGAGGGGCCTGGGCCTGTGGAACCACTCAGAGGGCTGGGCCCGGAACCACAGTGCGGGCGGCCGGCAGCACCCAGCCTGGCCGCACCGTGACCACAGCCGGAACAGCGCGCAGGGTGAGGCCCCCCGGGGGACCCTGGCTGCCACCCGGGCCACGCTCAGCCACAGCACCCCGGCCACCCCGGCTCACGCCTGCTGTCTCCCCAGGCTCCTTCCTGGTATCCGTGGCCGAGCCCAGCGCCCCAGCCATCCTCTCCAGCCCCGAGTTCCAGGCCTCGGCCCCCCAGAAGTGCTCGGTGAGGCGGGTGGAGGACACAGGGTGGCCACCCTGATCGCCTGGGCCCTGGAGAGCCTCCCCTGACATGCTCACTCCCCTTCCAGCTCACCTTCTATCACTACCTGCATGGGTCCGAGGCCGGCTGCCTCCAGGTGTTCCTGCAGACGAGGAGCCCTGGCGCCCCCCAGGCTGCTGTCCTGCTGCGCAGGCGCCACGGGGAACTGGGGGCCGCCTGGGTCCGAGACCGCGTTGACATCCAGAGCAAGCACCCCTTTCGGGTGAGGCTGGCGAGGGCAGCATCATGCAGGGACATGGGGCGGTCCAGGGGCCCCTCAGGGAGTCCAGTCTGGGCCCCTCCGCTGTCTCGGCAGGAAGGCAAGCCAGAGGGGAGGAGGGGCTGCCTGCCGAGGCCCCTCCTGCAGGGCTGGGGTGGTGATGGGAGGGAGCGTCCAGCGACAGACAAGTACAGGTGTGGGTCGTGGGGAGAGGGCTCAAGGGAGCAGACCCAGGGATGACAGAGCCGCCTCTGCCCTCAGATTCTCCTGGCCGGGCAGACGGGCCCAGGGGGCGTCGTGGGCCTGGATGACCTCATCCTGTCTGACCACTGCAAACCAGTCCCAGGTGAGCCTGCTGGGTGCCCCCCTGCCCCCCCCGCCCCCCCGTGAGGAGAAGCACGGCCCCCGCCAGCCTGCCTGATCCCGGCTCTGCCCGCACAGAGGTGGCTGGCCCACCTCCTGGGCTCTGGGCTCCAGGTCCCCGGTCCCAGCTGTCCAGCCTGCAGCCCTGGAATTTCTGCGAGCCCGGACATCTCTTGTGTGGGGACCTGTGTGTCCCCCCGGAGCAGCTGTGTGACTTCCAGCAGCAGTGCCCTGGGGGCGAGGACGAGCAGGAAT